GTAAGGGGTTGCAAGCTTCAGAAAGTTCTTGACAAAACTTTTTCTTAAGGAGCAAGATCTTTTAATAATAAGAAGTATCTCAATGAAAAGAGCGCGGAAAATGTGTGAGTTTCTGCGAAACTTCCAGAAAGAGCTGTGATTGTTCGCAGGGATCGTTATGCGCGAAGTTTCACACAAGAAAGCAAAAATGGGGGGGGGGTGTTTGAAAGGTAAGAATCGCAGGCAGAGCGATTTGCAACTCGGAACGGAGAACGGGACACGCTCTAACAAACAAGAGCAGATGAGATTTTGTGAGATCTTGGTCGATGTACAATATCCCAAATGGTGTCTGACAGGCCTACTCAGGATCCATTTCTCTAGAACGTTCTGTTTGGGCCGCCCACCTGGTTTGAGCAGTACTTGATATAGACGTCGAAGTTCGTTTCAAAGTGGTGTACAAGAATGCTGCATAAGTCGTCCAGTAGAAGACTGTGCTCCAATCGGTTCTCCAAGTCAGAAAGTAACCTGCAAACGAGACCATGCCATCAGTTTTGGAAAATTTTGAAATATCACACATTAGATATCTCACCGCTTCACTGCAGTCTCGCACAGCAAAGATGTTGCTGAACAAATGTTTCCTATCCGAATTCGAAATCACAGAAAAAGCACTTTTGGAGCCTGAAATGGAACACAGGAGTTGTGATGGCATAAAAGGTAACAAAGCTGCAATTCTGCGCTTCTACAGCGATAGTTAACCTGCCTTGGCATCGCAGCGTTCCCGTGCTCCCTTGTCTTGTGGCCAAGGTATAAGTATGGTAGGATCCTGGTTCATTTCATCGAGATGAATGAGCCCGCGTTTGCACTATAGTGCCACTTTCTCTGGTGAAAAGTGCGCGCAAAGAGGCTGGAGGGTAATGATACTCGATTGCCATATCCATTCTCCGTCCGCGCTGCTGCACGGCCAGCCTTACGCCTAACCATAGCCGCACGCGCAACTTGTCTGCGTTCTCTAAAGTCTAGATGTTCTCTTTTGCGGAGTGCGTGTTTTAATGTGGGATCTTGATATCGATGCATGTGGTGCACATGGAGGATAACGCGAGCGAAGTTCCAAACGGCACCCGGTTATCACAATCCTCCACCCTTCTTTTCGCTCGCTCTCAAATGATGAGGGTACTACATTTGCACAGTAGCCAACCCGTTCTTCGCGCACATGGGAAGGACCGTCTTCGGAGGTACAGTTTTCTTGGAATCATTCAGATCACAATGCACATGTTGTGCACGTGACTTCATTTGCAACACCTCTTTCGCCAACGTGGACGCAACACGGATGTCATGTCCCCTTTCGGAAATGCTCGCAGCATGACTGGCGCATTCGCGTAGCAGTACATATTGAGAAAAAACGTTGGTGTGAAAAATAGTGCAACATTGGCGCCGATTGGAAGCAGTGAATTAATGTACAAACGGCATTTTGCATTCTATGGGAAAATGACCGATTGTTCAGAATAATACAGCAGATCGCATTTTCGCAAGGACCGGGCTCCCTTATGAGGTTTACTAATTCGCTGATCCAAACAGTTACAGTGCAATACACATGGAATCACTCAAGAGTATTGTCTAAGAGACCTGCAGTGCTTTCATGGGAATTTCAAGTTTCCACATGAACCTTATGGAAGAAACTATTCGCATAATAGTATAGAGAAAACCACCCACCCATTAACTCTTGACTTGCCATAAAATGGGTGATGAGTATGTTCAGAGAGCGTAAGTAGCTCGCTTCGCTAGTGATCACCTAAAAAAGTATTCGTTAGTGAAAGCGAAGATCGTGCCGGGAGGGAAAAATGGCCACAATTCACGCTTGGGGTTGATTTTCCGGAATCGGACGAGCTTCTGATGGAAAGCGAGCTCAAAGTCGAGCAGGACAACAATGGTAGGTCCCACACAAAGTGCACGCAAAGCGTCACATGTGTGTCTACATATAGTTACAGGACCGCTAGGAGAAGTGTTGGGAAGAAGGATCGTCCCAGAGGGAGCATTTTTTGAAAACTAATCCAGGTATGTGAAGCAACTCCTTGACGTTCTTTTGGCTTATCACAACCACAGTTCCCTCAGTGCCCATTGTGTGACGCAAAAACGGGAATCCGCCAAGGGAGTGCGGACCGGATCACCCGGACAAGCACGGGACTCTTTCTATAAGGTAATCGCGGAATGTGCTTGCAAGGAAATGGAGTTATGGCGAAAGACCACTGCTCCATCACCTGAGCTGACCAACCAATTTCTGCCCCAAGGTCTCCTTTCAAGTGGGGGGGGGTATGTTTTATGCACTCAGAGACTTGCTCGGCTTACTCACATGGCTCTGAGGGAATGATCACGGGGTGAGTTCAAACGTTCTGTGGTTTTAGTGCAAACGAAAGGGGGGTGGAAGGGGTACGCCAGAGAAAGAAATGAAGACCCTGGACAAATTCCTTTCCTATTTTTTTTCTGCGGACAAACTAAGATTTCAACATTTTTGATGAGCTTAAAGGGTCGTAAGGCCAGACTTCGACTCACTTCGAAGTACGCCTCCTGTCGCATTCGTGTCTCCTCGTCCAATGTAGCCAGAAGGCCGGCAGCTTTCACCTGAGAAAACAATCTTTGAACTGGGCCATGGATAGGGCTCTCGGCGACTCACCTCCTCGAGTTCACACCAAAGACTTCGCTGACTTCCAAAATGGGATGTGGCTATTAATCGCTCTCTTCTCATGGACGTGTTAGACGTCAGTGCAGACGCAGAAGTAGAGCAGTCCGCTCCACGACCGGAATCTGACGACGCGCAAGATTCTCGGCGGAACTGGAAAGTGAGAAGTTTTTCCAAATTTTGAATGATAATCTAACAAAAGAATGAAAAAATTGTGACTTCAATGGCCTTGGAAACCAACCAAGTCTATGGATGTGTCTGCCGCCGGCTCGTCTTGACCACCACCGGTGTAGGTGCGTTCCATGGAATCATTTGCCCTCAGTAGTACTCCATCAAAGAGCTTATCATTCTCTGTCATCATATAGATTTGATACAGAGGTTGATCAATAGGTAAGCGACTCGTGTACTGATGGCCATAATCCTCTTCATCTGGAGATGGATCGTCCTGAAATTTGATTCATGAGAAGTGTTAGTACTGAATAGTCCATATATTAAAATCAGGCACGATATATCCCCAAGAAGTGTAGGCTTAATACGCCTAGCAGGACAGAATTCCACAACACTGAGCAGGCGCGTGGCACTTCCCCAGGAAAGCTGCCCTTATGGAGCCCCATCAAGCTGCAACATACCGATCCCGACGCCCGCCCGCCCGCCCACAAATGTCCGACCGATGCTGATGCTCGTATCGCTTCATTTGCGAAGTACAGTATGAAGCGAAGGGATGATATGAAGCACCTGCGGTGCTGCATGGATATATGAGTACACACATGCAGTCGTATACCGATTACTGGCACGGTGCCAACGGGAAACTCGTCCAAAATTGCTTTCTGAGTCGTGTGAGTAGCAAAGGCTTCTATCTGCAGATTTTTGAACGCTTCTCGACATTCGCTTTTGCCGATGTGTCCCACTCTGTACTACCCAGGTCTCACCGACGCACTTTAGACGAATACCGCTATGCGCCTTATGTATTCAAAACTCTATTCATTTCTCAGAGCATTTTGGTTGTAAATGGCTTCCATTCCAGAAAAGCGATAGTTTTCTTAGGTTTTTTCCTCGGGAGTTGTGGCGACAACCATATGACCACAAAACATCAAAAACTGAAAAGTTAAATTACACAGCTCACGGATGTCTGGCGTGTGCTTCTCGGAGGAAATCGGTCCACAACTTTAATATTGAGGCGGAATAGCGGGACAATTGGTGAGACCATGGGTGTGAAGGGTGACAAGAGTGAGATTAATTTGCTTGCACGTACTTCGCTCTCTTGACCTCATTGCCTGGATCTCTTATGAACAGGTTCCCATTTTTTCAGCAACGGTCTTGACTGACCTTTAAGAGAAGAGCCAAGGGGAGAGATATTCCCTGGTCTTTTCGAACAATAAGACAGACTATTAGAAGCCTAGCATTTTCCTAACAAAACTGAGCGCGCCTGAGCTTGGAGGAGGAGGGAGGGGGGGAACGTTCTTCTGATCATTAGTTTCTTTTACTATTTTACGTCTCACCTTTTTGAGAGCTGTGGAATGTTCTCAAGTGTCAAAGCTTTGCAAGAATTCAAGTCTCCACAAGGTTTCCGGTAATGATTGATGGACACCAGTAGAAAGCCCCCACCAAGATGAACTGCGCCCAAAATTGTTGTCAATGCTGGAGAATGATAACCTTTGCTCTTGTTCCCTAAACCTTGGACTGTATTCTACGTCGGAGGCCTCATCAATTTTTTTGTGTCAGCAAAAACACATTAAAACGAGTTTTGGGATGTTTTTCTGTACAGTGAACGGCGATATCAAAGAAGCCACAGGAAGAACAGCAGTTCTACCCAAAGCACATAGTGCCCATATGAAATATGTTCGACAGTACAACACAGAATAGAGTTTCAGTAGAACACTATTTCCTTTCAGCACGAACTGTAACAAACACCGCGCTAAAGTGCTTCTGTTGATAAAGGCATGGCCGTTTGGTGGGTATATCGCACTGGAGCAGATGCGAAGAAAATCTTCGGAATTTCGCAAATATACAAGAATCTGATGAGCCGACCATTTTGGATTCAGTAACGGCTGGATGGTATAGAATGTGATTAGTACCTTTCAGAATGCAAAGGAACTATTTCCACTATTACGACTCCGGAAACTCGGAATTCTTTTGCTGAAACTTAACCTATAGATTATCACAAGAATGCTGAGTTATGGGCAAAAGTCGTGCCCCAGGCGGGAGTCGAACCCGCACCTCACGCTTTCCGGGCGAGTGCGCTATCCGTTACGCCACCAGGCCGCTCCTTACCCTCTCAGCTTAAAGGCAGTTGGCACGATGGTTTCCCACTCGGCCTAAAATGCTAGTAGGGCGCTATATAGTGGGGAAATGGCGAAAGAACGGAGTGAAACGGTCAAAATCCGGCGAAGAAAAAGCCTCCGTTCTCAGTGACTTGAAATCGATTTCGGACGAGTTTCCCGTACGCATCTTGCCAATCACCGCTACCGAAGATACGGCTGCATATGTGTACCCATATATGCATGCAGCATCACGGCCGCTTCATACCAATCCCTTTGCTTCATAATTTGCTCAGCAAATGAATGAATACGAGCGTCAGAAACGGTCGTCCGTTTGTGGGCGGGCGGGCGAGGAAGGCGTTTGGGACGGAATGTTGTTGCTCGATAGGGCGTTATAGGGGTACCCTCCTTGGAAAAGGCGCCTGTCCGAGGTCACGGAATTCTGTTAAGCCAGTCGTATAAATCCTACATCTGTATAGCGATTTATCGTGCCAACTGCTTTTAAGGGCTCCTTTTTTTTTAAAAATGCCCATATGCCTTACAGCACTCACACGTTTAACGTAGTGAGCCGGGAAACAGCTTCAAAATAACACAACTTGTAGAACCTTCGGCCTAGCGGTTCATTGCCGATATCGATTACGGCTGACCGGCTCACCAAGTTAAACGTGTGAGTGCTGTAAGGCTACGGCATAAAAGCCGTTAAGCTGAGAGGGTGAAATAGGCCCTGGTGGCGTAACGGATACACCAGCGGCGCTACCAGGCAAGGCATCTCGCCGAAGAGCGTGGGCGTAGCGGTTCGACCTCCTGCCCTGGGGTGACACTTTAGGCCCCATAACTCGAGCATCGGAAACGCGAACAGCGGCGTAAATACGAGGCAGTTATCACCGTAATCCATAGATTCGTTAGTAATGTCTTATGACCTCTGTCGAGGTTTTTAGGTGGGGGGGGGTAAAACCTGCAAAGAGCATAGTAATTATGACGAATTTATACAAACGATGCGAAGTACAGCAAGAAGAGCAGAGCTGGAGAATATTTAATCATAGGGCTTGTTCGTTTCCTGATCACCGGAAATATATCAAGTTTTTCACCAATTGGCGCCTATTAGGCACTCATATTTCACCTTTTCCAACCAGCAGGTTCCAACATGAAAAGCTTATTAGGCATCCGCATTTCGAAACGGCCGCTGTTTTTTTTTGAATAAAACAAGAGAGAGATAGAAAAGTGATATTTTAGCTTTAGGATGAGTAAATCCTCCTCCACTAAATGACCCGCTCCCAGTGCCCCGAGGGCCTTTTGACCTCTGGTACCTTCGAAAAATTATCAAAATTGTGAAAATTGCTGTTGTTGGCCATTTTCCGGCAATGTACGAAAACATTGCTCGCCGTCGAGAGTACTCCTCAGCTGAATTAGAAATCGCAATGCGCTTTATGAACGGGCGAATATGGGTGATTCGAACCCAGGTCTCAGTAATTCGTGTCCGAGCGCACTGATTCTACAATACAGTTACTCGGGGTCTGGTACTATGACGAGCAACGGTGGCCTTCTTGTAGTTGTGTGGTAGCATCCATTTGTCGATCTGAATGCCGAGGAACAGGCAATCGGTCAGTGCCGTGTTTCATACCGCTTCGTTTTTTCTTCTGTGCAGGATGAATATTATGGGACCATCCACGACAACAATTTTTTCCTTTCTTCCTTGTACGGGCTCCTGAACCAAATCTTCCACCGTGTATTTCGAGAACACCCTCACAACTACTGTGTCCGAGCGCAGGTCAAATTTGAGCAGCGCACTTTCCTCTTATGACGGCTGATTTGACAAAACCGCGCTGATTCAATCCTCGGTTTCTTTTCCATTTCTCAGAACATCTTCAAGAGCTAGGCTTCGCCAATTTCATCTAGATAACAGCTTAGACGTACACTTACCAAAATGGTATAGAGCCCGCTGCTCTATCTCCTTTTGCTCTTTCTGTCATATCCTCTATTATGCTATGCGCCACGTTGAATGGGATGACCTTATAGCATAATAGTTGTTCAAAGATTTGACCATGAATATTATATTCATTATTGACGTTGTCGTCATTTGGTACCAATGGACGCCCATTCGGCGCCGCCGCCTTTTCCACCGAAAATACTAGGTTTACTTGGCATCCTGGTTACGAAAATTGTATTCATTCTCGGCTCCAGTGCTGACATAGGGCACTCTGACCATCTGCGCTCTGCTAAGGTCCTAAGGAACCCCATCTACCACCAGGCTCAGCCTTAGCAAAGTGCTAAAGACAATTTTTGCCGATTTCGATAAAGAAGGTGGTGGCGCCAAAATGGGTCTATTGGCGGCAGATGGCGCCAGCGAGAAGAATAAATGCCATATTCGTGCTTAGGACATCAAACAACTCTGTTATGCATGTTCTCAACGATATTGGTGGAAACGATGATGGTACCCATTAGCGCCAGCTACACTTCTTATCCCTGAGACGGAGTAGGCGTGGCTTTTGAGCATGGCATAGGACGGGTTACTCGTGGGATACTTCAATTTGAAACAACTGCCATCTTGTTCTGTGTTAGATGTAGACATGATTACGACTGTTGCAAAATGAAAATATCTCACGAAAACCTGGGCCGCCGCCATTTAAAATTAAAGACATGGTACGATCACACATAGTTTGGGTGTGCGTGACTATCAGCCCCCAGCTGTCGAAGCGTAGCGGTTTCCCCGTCCTAACATGCGCAGGAATGGAGATACAGGACCGTGAAACACGCTAATTCTAACAACGGGAAGA